TACCATAGTTATATCAATGTAACCTAAAATCTTCGGAAAGATCATCATGCCATACAATGATAGAGCAAACACAACCATGCCTTGGTCATCATTTAAATGCTTCTGAATGAAGTTTCAGAGAAAGTCTCAACAAATGTCGAGATGTTCACCTTTAGGCTTCGTGAAGGAATCAATGGTTTCCACTTTAACTCCTATAAGCTTGGCCAACTTTTTTACGGTAACCTGATTTTGGCTTTCAAGTAAATACTTTATCTAGACACTGTAGTTTTATCTTGAGCAAAATTGAATATTCTTCAATAGTTGGCATCAAATCTTTCTCATTAAAAGTGAAACATCTATAGTACGAATCTCAAAACTGTATAGCTGTCCTAATCAACTATTTATCCATCACTACTGAAATAAATGATGTAATTTGTCGTACTTCTTACAAAAGCTTTCTTTTCTCTCTTCATTTAACTGACCCCAGATAGCGACTAAGTCTTCTAAGTCATTTTGCGTGAAATCCAAATGTACTTTTTCGAGCAACTTTGACATATAACTGGTAGGAAAGCAATCTTCACTATTTTGTTGAGCTTTTTTTGACCAAACATATACTTTATTATACGGCTTACATAGGACTTTGACTGAAGATGAGCAAATATGTAGTTCTATGGGATCTATGAAAACTTCTTAAGAGAAAGCTGTCTTAGAACAAATATCTTGATGCAGAATTATATGATATGATTATGCAAAAAAGAAAAAAAAACAAACAAAATTGAGTTAGTGTGAGGATGTGGTTTAAGAAAAAATATTTTTTTGTGTTTTGAGATTTTTTTTGTTTTGTATTAGACATAGGTATTTCCTACAAGAAGGTGGATGAAGCTCTACCTAAGGCTAGTTTCCTAAGCTTATCACATACTGAGTTTGGATTGACACGTATCTAAAGGTTCTCAAATTATTTCTCATTGTCATCCATATTGGACTAGTAAGGTATCTCGATCCTCACCCATTACAGGTTACGAACAGAAAGGATTCAATTTGAGTTAAAGTATTTCGTTTGCCATTACGGAGGTTATCACCTCACGAGGACATAGGTACTTTACTTCTTCCTATAAGGGACGGAGCCCGGGTATAGAATTTATGCATATGATGCATCATGTTATTGTGTGGGCAAATATATCCTAATTTATTGAGAGTAATATATACAAAAAAAATGCATAAGAGGCATAGTAAAAGAAACATGTGTGAATTTTTTTTTTGTTTTTGATTTGTTTTTTTTTACTTTTTGTTGAAAGTAAAAAATAAAAAATCTAAGAAACCGATTAGGACTGTTTAAATCAAAATTTGAGGATAATATGTAGTTAATTTTGGTCTGACTTTCGAAAACAAATGGCATCCCCAGTAGAGTCGGAAAGCTATTGTAACGATTTTGTATTCGCCCGATAAATTTAGAAACGAAATAAAAAATAACAGAGTCACCACCAATCTTTTTTTGGCTAAGTGCGATTGGTCACCTATTAAAACATATCATTTTTAATGAAATTTTAAAATTAATTAAAATTTATTAAGAGGATAATTTTAGGGTCTACGCAACAGTCTGGGTTTGAGAGTTGGTTATGTGTAAAGAAGGATTAACAACCCTACAACGTCCGTTTAAAACGGTACCAATTAACTATGTGTTATCCATTGATTTTAATATAAACATTCTTATTTTCGGTGTTTGAAAAATAATTTTTTTCATTTTTTTCATTTGTTGGAAATTTTTTTAGTGCTCAAATTTTATTCGAGAAAAATAAATTAGAACCCCTTTATTGAAAGAATTTTTAAAATATTTCAGTACGTTGGTAACATTAGAAGAATATTTTCTCACCTAGAGATTTCTTAGGCATCACTTTTCAGAATACCTTAGAATCCCATCTTTGGAGGCTCAAATTTACTTTTCGTAAAAAACTATGTCATGCATGCAATGCAAAATGTTATCATGTTGATGCACACATTTTATTCTCCTTTTTTACAAATTTTATTAATTGCTTTATTTAATTTTTTTATTTTTAATTTAAAATTGAAGAAAATTTTTTTTATTATATTGAAGTTTTTTATAAATGTTCCAATACACTTGTAATATTTTAAAAAAATCTTCTCACCTAAAGGATTTTGCAAAGCATCGCTACTCGAAATACTTTTAGAATCTCATAATTGGATAAAATTTCTTTTTCTCATTTTTTTATCACTTTATTTTAGTTTTTTTTATAAATTAGTTAATTTTATTTTACTAGTTTTTATAAAAAAGAAATTTTTATTGTGTCAAAATTTTTTTATAAATACTCTAATACACTGGTAGTATTTAAAAAAAATCTTTTCACCTAGAGATTTCATAGGTATTACTATTCGGAGTACCTTTGAATCTCATCATTGGATAAAAATTTTCTTTTTTTCTTACATTTTTTTATTAATTTATAAGGTTTATTCTAAAATTAACAAAATTATCAAAAAAACTTTATTATATATTTTATCATATATTTTTATTTATTTCAACAAAAATTTATTCTAACATATATAAACATTTTAATATGCATGAATATTAATAATAAAATTTATAATAATATATATAAATTCAAAAATTTTCAAAAAAAAAAATTTTACCTGAACCGGATGGTCAACGGTTTGATCAACGAAGGTTTGGGTCGGCTCAGTGGTTCAATCTTGTCGATCCAGTTGGTTCGGGTTCAGCGGTTGGATGTCGATCTGGGCTAGTTCAACTGGACTGGTTGAGGCAAAGGGAGAATGGGTCGTCGGGTCGAATGTGCGGATCCCAGGTTGAGTTGCGGGTCGACGTACGGATCCTCTAGGGTCGAAACGGTGTCTTTTTGATACTTTCCTAAACGACATCCTTTTGAAGGCCTATTTAAAGGCCTAATCAGCTTTTTTTTTTTGTTTTCTTCTTCCTCTTTCTCTTTCTTCCTCTCAGACTCTCTCCTTCTCTTTCTAGCAATCAAACATCCGATGACTATTCAACCATGTCGGCCGCCATCAATGGTCACCGAAAAAATCCAAAATCTTCAAGAATCTTTTCTTCATCCCCCTAAATATGAATCCGAGCTTAGTTTTACAAAAAAGGGCCTTGAACTGCATAAATCTGGCCTGAAAGATTTGGTCAAAGGATTATTTATTTATTTATTTATTTATTTTTTTGTTTTAGCACTAAGATCCCGTTCCAAGGATTTCTTTTTTATTTCTCTTTTTTTTTTTTCACGAAGATTTTTTAGAATCTGGCAATGTGTTTTTTTTTTTTTTTTTGTGTTTTTTTTTTTTTTTGTAAGGTTTCTGGGCTTATCCTCTTGTAGGTGTTTTTGCAGCTTTATTTATAAAGCAAAAAGAATATTAAAATCTTAAATTTTTTAAGATTTTAATTGCCTATGATTATAGTAGCCACCGACTATCAGAGCTACTGACAGTACAACTGCCGATGGTTAACAGAAAAATTACAAAAAAAAAGTAAAAATAAATAATAAATAAATAATAATAATTAATTAATTAAATGGTGTCTACAATGGTTTGTCTCACTAATTTTGATCACATTAAAGCTATACTCATGATCAACCTCTATAAAAAGTTTGCTTTGATTATTAAAATTTTACATTATTCTGATCTACAAGAATACTAATCCTCATGGTTAATTACGCGGAAGTAAAAATTAACTTGTTGAAGTGTAGATTGGAACAATAAGTTCTGATAAGAATTCGATCACGTCATTGTTCATCTTCCTTACATGTACAGGGTAATCACTGTTACCTAATCTCCCTTTGGCAATACAATCAGCTGGAATCGATACATCACAGATTGTGGATCGTGGTTCATCACTTCCTGAGCAAACGGACAACGAATTAAGGCGGAGTATTAATTAAATTAATGCCCATGCCAAGCAAAACTGCTTTCTAAGAACAATAAAAAAAAAAAAATTCCCAATCAGCTGGTGGCTGTATATGTACTAAACAAAGAAAAGGAAAAACAATTTGGAGAACCTGAAATTCGGTGCCTTGCCAAATATAGATGAGACGACTCATCACGCTTTCCATCACGAACCAGTCCACTCATGAACAAAAGGCTTCAACTTTGGCCCTATAACTCATGTGCCAATATTCAATTTTAGGATGCGACATAGAATTCAAAAAACATTCACAAGCTTCTTTTTTTCTGAACTACTTTTCTTTCATGGTTTGGATTGACGACTCATTGGCTTACTTGATCGCCTGAGGAAAAGTTCTACGACTTTGATGCTTTTTACTTATTAGAACTCATCGACGCATATATGGACCCAAAGAGACCAAGACCCGAGCATGAAGATATTATTGATGTTTTCTTACAAGTTTGGAAGGATCGTGCATGAAATTAAGGTCTAATCCCACAAGAAACAATTCGAAGGTGCTGTATCAGAAGTATGAAGTTCCGGCTAAAACTCTAGTTTACGGTAATAGAAAGGGATCCTGAAGCTTGGGAAAATCCAGAAAGCTTTCGTAAGGAGGGACTTCTCGGTAGTTCCATTGACTATAAAGCAATAGAGTTTGAATTTATCCCTTTTGGTACTGGTCGAAGATGTTGTCCTGGAATTACCGTGGGATCCGTAGGACAAAATTTATGACATTTTTTAATGAAATTTGTAAAATATTTTTTAAAATGATTTAATAAAAAATTTAATAAAAAATTTAAATTAATAAATTAATAAAATTTAATATGAAAGTCCATAATATATAAAAAAATATTAAAATATTATTTATAATTTAAATTTATTCAATATTTATTTAACAGTAAAAATTTTATCAATATTTTTTATTAAAAATAATTATAACTATATATATTTATTAAAATTTTTTAAAATTTTACATAATTTATGTAACAAAATCATTTAATTTACCGATTTTAACTTTATTTAATTTTTTTAATTATTTTTAATAAAAAATTTCATAAATTCCACTTACAAAATTTGATCTTAGTTTTATTCGGGATCCGTAACAGTGGAGCTTGCGCTTGCTAACTTTTACAAATGCCTGATAAGGTTGTTTAATCTCTGGGTTGTGGCTAGTGAGGTCGATCAATCGTAAATAATAATTGCATTTGCAGTCTATTCTAAGTTCAAGTGCTGCATCGACCGAGTGTACGTGTAAATCAATTATATATACAAGAAAATTAACGAGATCTTCCCGTCATCAAAAGGGTCCAAGCTGCCATTAAAAAATTCTCACTGCTTCTTTAGCAATCATCCAAAAGAAAACAAATTAAGTGTTAATTCAGGGGTAGTCGTTTCACCATGTGATCACAAGTAGGGGGGCGCTAAAGAGCAACAAAATGAAAACAATTCTTGTTGAACATGCAAATACAGTGGCCAATGTATAAAAAAGTACACTTCTCTACGCTGAGAGAACAAAATTTCCCATTGGACTAGGGAATAATATGATAACACTTATGACTTCCGCGGCCGTCCTCTCTTAGTTGTTTTTCCTTGAAAGGACTGCGAACTTTTGTTTGCGCCAGTGCGACCACGTCCACGCCCAGCACCCTTTCCCTCTGAAGTGGACTTCTTTGCACCCTTACCTCGGCCTTTGGCAAAAACCTTACCATTGATGTGTTCTCCACTGCCGTCACTTTCAACATCACTATTTTCTTCTTCCTCCGAGTCAGATGAAGCTTTTGATTTCTTCCTCTTCTTTGAGGAGTCAGGAGTTTTACTGGCACCTTTTTTGTTATTTTGCTTAGGAACTGGAGTAGTGGCATCTGGTACCTCAGTTCCTGCATACATCAGCGTCCAAGTCAACCTCCCATAACTTCAAATTCAATAATTGTCAACTGGACAATCTAAGGCAACAATCTAGTTATTAACGTAATTACTGAAACCCTTTGTGGAACATATAAGATTAGTTGAAAATGGCGAAGAAAGCAAGACAGAAACACATACCTTCACCAGAAGTTTTGCCATCGTAAACATCCAGCTGTAGAAAACATTAAATGCTTAGACATAAGCCTTTATATTTCAATATCTCAACATTAACAAAAAGCAGCAGCTAGTGCAAGACATCAAAACTACATCAATGCCGTCAGTAGCAAGCAACAAAAACATCTGTTGTTCCAACATGAAATTGAAGGTTCAGCAAGATAAGCTAGTAGTCGAGATTAGTAATTGGGAATACCCAACACGGTTCACAACAAGCCATATTTAATCAAAGCTAATAGCACTAATCGCTTGAAGCAATGCATGTCAATAAAGTATAGAGGCTTTAGCTTTTAAACTAACCCTTCAAACTTTAAAAGGCAGTAAACAAGAATTTTAGCACAAAAATACTACTCACTTCCAGGGAGTTGGCATTAAAGCCATACATTTTGGAAGGTACAACATAAAGCGTAAAGAAAGAACTTGATCTCCAATACAAGGAAAATGAAAAACTCTTAAAAATTTACAAATTTACCTGATCAAGCCTGTCACCAACGCTTGTTCTATCAACAATGACCATTGAATGTCCCATACCACATGCAACACTACACAGAGATATACAAAAGAACTCGTCAGTACCTTCCAGTCAAGAGAAAATTCACAGCATATAGTATTATAGGTGCATAAATTTACTGTTAATTATATGCACCTGATAACATGCATGCCCTCCAAAATATCTACCTTTTTGGGAACTGCTGAAGACCTAAAACAAAGACAGTCGATTAAGTAAATAGAAATTGGAGATAGACTTAAAAAAGGCTGCTATGTTAGTAACAACACATACTTTTGCCCCTTGGGACCATATCCCAACTCTCCGTACTGAGCATGGCCCCAACTTATGCAGGAGGCATCTGCACCAACAAAATGGTGCATATTGCCTGAATCCATGCAGCGTAAATTCCAACCACTGAGAAGAAAATGGATAAATGTGTCTCAGACATGTTTACTGACCAAGAACCAGTACCATAAAACTTCACGTAAAGCACAGAGTCAAAATAAACAGAACAAAATAACAGAACAGTTAAAGAGATGTCAGTACTATGAAATTAATGATTTCTTCCATTCTATCAGAAAGAATAGACTAAGGCAATGTAGCATGCTTAAAAAGCATAGAAAGAAATGCAACAAAAGAACAGAAGCTTCTAAGCTAAGCTAACGTATACAGTGGATTATAAGAAATTTTCTAGCAAAGCTTGATGATAATGGTTACACAAAATTGGGTGGACTGATTGATTGAAAGGGAGGAAAAAGTGTAGTAACCAAGACAAAACAATGCCAACACATCAAAATGATGGAGATAAAAAGTATAAACAATGCTTCTAAGCTAATCTAAGCAAAATCAGCCAATCATCATGATGCAAATAGAAAAAACTAAAAAACTACCATTAGGATAAAAGTAAACATAACCATGGCGCAGAGCAAAACCTTAAATCCATTAGAGGTTTAGGATACATCCAGTCATCACCCGTATTCTTTATTTTGCCCCACATATACAATTGCCCACCACCTGGAAAACAAGCAAAACACAATAATGAAACTGAACAATGACTTTAAAACAATTAACAAGAAGAAGTATGGACAGCATATCTTAAACCTTAGGGGGTTGCAACATTTCAGGAGCATAATTGTAATTTCCTGCAATTAAGCACCCTAAAGATATTTCAATCTAATCAATTTAACATAGATCTAGGAGTTTCCAGGAGCCTAGCCTCATTTCCTTGAAATCCAAGGTGGTCTACCTGCGTATTCATACCTAGGGTATTCTTATGGTTCCCCTAATTTTACCAAATTTTAATCACCTTGAAATCTATAAACAGAAGCTAGCCCCCTCAGCTTTCCCTTTAACCCTCACTTCACCCCTGATAAAATATGAAAAAACTTTAATCATTCCTGTTAATAGAGAGTTTTAGCAACCAGACTATTAGCTTCCAGCCACAAATTACAGAACAAACAATACCTGCAGTACATGATGAATTTACAGAACCAGCTGAAACAACAGCATCAGGAGGAAGAACATTGTGCTTTTGGAATACATCAACACGGCGAGGAACCCACTCATCCTTCTGCTCTCTGTGCCCAAGCCTGTATATCAGTGATGAAGGAATTACATGCATGATTGTGAAAAGGAAAAATAAATAAGAATAAAGAATTTAAGCCTCGTAAAAACACATCAAATACTGGAGCGATGCAAAAGTCAACAGTGGTGTGTATATTGTCACAAACCTTCCATAACCACCAAAGCCCCACCTAGACATTCATATGACAACAGTCAATTGTTTATGAACAAGGATAATAATAGGGAAATCTAAAACCTTTCCACAATAATGCATAGTGAACTTACGTGTAAACATAGCCATTCTTATCCACAGCGACTGGATACACAAATTAGAAAAAAATTAACAATGAGAAGGGTGTTTAATTAAAAGAGGAAGAGGGAAGTGGCATGGGGGATAACACTAGATGAAAGAGAAAGCAAACATGAAAGAGAGCAGGCATATCATGAACCTGTATGGTTTGTCCCACATGCAACTTTGACAATAGTTTTCCCAGAAAGAGTAGCTATAGCTCTTGGGCGTGGTTGGGCTTCATAAACAAGCTTCACTGAGCTATCCTTAGAATTGTACTGCAAGCAAATAAGTATCATGTAAAAATCCATGGAAAAAGCAAGTCAATCTAAGGATACATTTACTAAGGCTAGCACCTAGATTAATCAAGGTCTCAAGAACTGCTTATATGGATTAAATACATCAGAGAAAAAACAACATTTACGCATAATGTTTGTCACAAAGTACCCTGGGCATTAGATAAAGCATTGTCACACAAGAAAATATAGCATCATAAATTAGAGAGCAAGGAAACCTACTAAAACATAAAGTCTCCTGATGGTAATATATGCATGCAGTTCTTATTTTCTAAGCACTATGCACAAATGCAACAAAAATCATTAATAGACAACAAACAGAAATAATATTAGTAGTAAAATATCAAACTATTTCAGTCATAAAAAACCATCTGCCATACTGCTATGAACCCTTGACTACAATTACTCAAAACAATTTTCATCAAAATATAAATTCAACAGGGATACACAAACAAACACAAGAAGCTGTGTAACAATGCCTGAAAGTTTCAGCAATTATCATTTTCATCCAGCATAACTTAGTGAGTGATGCTCTGCAGCAGAAATATGAACAAGACTTGTCAAAGATAAATCGTCTTCCTCCACATACCTCATTGTCTGTTCCATGGCCAAGTTGGCCATACTGTGGAAGCCCTGCAGTTCTATAAACAAAGAACAAGTGTGCAAATCATTGAAAAGTATGAATCAGGAATTATAAACCATGAAAGTAAGACAAGAAACAGAACTAACAGAACCACAAACCATACAGTATTGAAGATCCTTCAACAGAAGATAACCACACAGTGAAGTCAGCTCCACAGGCAGTACTTGTGACTTCAGACACCATACAGCGGACAGGAGATGACTCAATTTCTACCAAAAAAAAAAAAGATAAATTGATAAATAAATGATGCAAAAGTTCAAAATGAAATGTCATTATCCCCAGAAGTATGCATTCATAGAGGTCAAAAAGTACCAATATGAACCAACAAATAGAATTTAACAACCAAGTAAACTAGAACCATAAACCAACAGAATATACCATTTCTTGTAGAACCTGAACCAAGCTGCCCATGTTTATTCCAGCCAAAGGCCAGGGAATTACCCTCATTAGTAACTACCACGGTATGGCTCCTCCCTCCTCCCGCTTTAATTATTTTATACCTTCAACAAGGATACAACAGAGACCAATTAACCAGAAATTTCAGATATCTAAACAAATACAGACGGGATTAACTTTAAGAACAACAGAAAAACGAACATACTTGGAGAGTTCAGAAACAACAGTGGGCCGATCACGCTGGATTGAATCTCCATGACCAAGTTGCCCTTTCTATACATAAAAGCTAAAGCTCTATCAACTAAATATTAACCAAATTAGTATAAAATTAACCGCATACATTTAACATAAACAACATTAAAAAGCTGAGTTTTTTCATGCCTCATTGCGACCCCATGTGTAGCATCGCCCTTCAACATCCAATGCAACACAATGACACGACGCTGCAATAAAAAAGAATTTTTTATATAAAAAAAAAGCTTTTAAATTTAAACGAGTAGGTGAAAAATGAAAAGCAATGAACTCACCGCAACCGGAGGCAACGAACCGGATGTCAACACCGACGAGGGGGCGGAGGCGAGTGGGAGAGATTAAGTTGCCTTCAACTGCACCTTTACGACGACCAACGATGTCCCAACAGGTGGAACCACAGAACAAGAGCTCTCCTCCTTTCTTCTTCTCTTCCACCTCTTTCTCCACCTTCTTCTCCGCTTCGGTCGCCGACATTCCCGGGTAACACACAGTTCAAAGGTTTGACCAAAAAAACTGAGCGAATGAGGGCCGATCTAACGGCTCGTATTTGAAAACAAGGAATGAACGGCCCAGATGAAGGTCAAATTGGCGGGAAAGAAGGAATAACGGCTAGCAAGAGGGGGATCGGCGCGATTAGGGTTTAATCAGAAAGGAGAGAGAAGAGAAGAACCGAAACCCTAATTCAAAAAATGGGAAGTGAAATGTTTCAAAGCGAAGAAAAGAGGATAAAAAGGGGGATTGTTTGGGAGGTTTCCAAGAATAGGGACTTCTTTTTATTAATAAAAGGGAAAATAAATTGTGGAGAGAGAGAGAATGCAAGTAGTCGATAGATTTTGTTGCTCTTTCACTTTTTTAATTTTTTATTATTTTGAAATCATTATTACTTTTTTTTTCTTTTTTGCTTTTCATTTTGTTCTTTTTTTTGTAAGTTTGAAGTCGTTGTCTTTAGATTTCCCCTTTTTTTTTTTTTTTTTTTTGCTTGTCGAGGAATCAGGGGTTTCTTAAATGGCTGATACCTTTCTTATTACAAAAAATAACATAAAAATTTAATTAAAAAATAAAATTGCTTTTGGGCCTGGGCCAGTGTTTCCATTGGGCTAGAATTAGTCAAGCCCAGATTAACTAAGAATTGTTTTTCTCCTTTGGGTTAATAGCCCACAATCTGGAGGAAACTTTGGATTCGTATATTTGTTCTTCCACAAAATACTAATGTAAATGAATGGCAAGGAGCAAAAGTGAATAAATATAAGAATCAATTTCAAATACTAATATCATCTCTAAAATTATGCTAATATTCCAAGGTCATTACATGCTGACAAAGCAAATTATAAGTATCAAATATAGACAATGCTTAAGGTTGTTTGTGTAGAAGATAAATGAATTAACAGAGGTAGAGTTTAGCTTCAACTCTCCACTGCCTCGGCACAACAATGCACCCATTGAACAAAATAATGGTCAAGTTTACTAGAATAAATCAAATATATCCAATAGATGTAGAACCCCCCATATGATCACTGATATTTCAAATCTAGTTCTGATACGATAATATGGCTGCACAGAAGCTAATGGTGGACTTGGCTTGTCATCACTTAGATTCATTCGCAGTAGGCTCACCATTTTGTTGCTGGTTCTGCAACTGGTTACGCCCACTCTGCTGTTGTTGTTGATGTTGCTGCTGCATCTGAAAAACGTTTAGCTGCTGAGATTGCTGAGGCTGTAACTGGAACATTGGATGATTGATTGAAAGTTGCTGAGCCATGCAGTTTGAAAGATGTGCCTCTCCACTGAACTCTGCTGCAGTTAGCTTCAGTCGCCGGACTTCGGCAGCTAATGCTTCATTTAGTGCTGCGACATCAAATCAATCAAGGAGACCAATATTTTAGTTAAAATACAAAAGTATCATTAGCATAGTTAAGTTGCATTAACAAATAAAAAGGAACCCGATCAACCAGCAATCACACTTATATAATCTACAGTGACCCAATAATAAAACTGAAAATCGTAGATCATTGCCTAGCCACAAGAAATCAAAACAATCTGATCCTCTTCAAACATCTTTCATTTAGGCTTTTTTTATGATACTATCATCATGATCATAATAAAAACAATAATAACCATTCTTTAAAATTCTAAGCAAGCATTAATCATGCCTTGTATTGCATGTTCACGAAAATTTTGTATAGGTTTCCTATTAGTAATGATCCATTATGAGTCATATGTTTGATAAACCTAAACCTTCATCTCCAATTAGTTCTGGATATATGTTGATCATAAATAACCACATATGCATCTATAAATGCAGCTCATCGTAAGAATCAAGACAGTCAGTTACCAAGAGATAATAGCAAGGAATAAAACAAATAAAGACGCAACAACCAGGTATTCAGATCAAGCAACATGGATTCCAAATGCAATGGCGTTCTCAACAAATATACCTAAAAAGCAAATAGGAAAAACTTGTACATAGTGTCTATGTGCTTCACAAAAATGCAGAGTATTAAACTTCAGGTATATACAAATAGGATGAATATTTGGAACTAAGATGGTGCAATCTAAGTACTTCAAGTAGATGGCTGATCACATTTGACATATCCAGGATTAGTAAAATCTATATCATAGGAATGCCAGCAAAGTAACATGATAGATTTGTAGGAAACCCTAGAGCATGCCAAAACTACATGTAATATTGGTCATAAAGGTTCATGTGAAAGAAAAAATTACTAATAGATGTTGCACAATAAGCAAGGAAGGCCCAGTTGAGAAACTTCTAAAAATCAGATGATATAAGGTTTAAGATCAAGAAATATATACCATCCTTCAGTTGGGCCTGTTGCTCCATGGCCTGAAGACGAAATTTCAACTCGTTGTTCTCGCTTTTAATATCAGCAGAATCTCTCTAAAGAAGGAAGACCAAACAAAGACGAGATAAGGAACAACCAAGTAGCAACGAGGCCAATTAAAGGGGAAAAGGTGTAATAATTGGTACAATTACTAGAACTTTATATCCACCTGTAACATTGTTAGCTGTGCAGACAATGTGGTTGCCTCTGTTTGCAAAGTTTGTACCCTGTGCTCTAATTCTGCAATGTACCGCATCTTTCGCTCCTTGGAACGAGCAGCTGATTGACGATTAGCCAAAATCCTGTCATGAATAACTCAGAATCATCAACTATGCCCAGTTATATGCAACGCCATAAGCAAAAAAAGAAAAGAAAACTGAGAAGAAGGAGAAGCAATGCAAAAAACCTTTTGGCGCGTTTTGGATCTATGGATGCAATCTCAGCAAGCTTCTCATTTTCCATGATCTTTTTGAGCTCAGCTTCACTGAACTCACTATTGCCAAGCTCATAGAAGAACTTGCTTGAATTTGCATCAGCTGAGCTACCAGGAGATTGATGACCCCCTCTATTTCCCAAAGGAGTAATCTTTGGTGACTCGTCATCATATTGCATACTTTCCACATAACTATCCATTGAAACACTTCTGTAATGCCGAACAGTCAGAGCAATATCTCCAACAGCACTCCACTTGACCGCTTCCTTCTTCTCATTTGAAACACCAGAACTCATTCCCTGCATACTGATTGGATGTCCATTTACTCTACTCTCCACTTCGTTGTCACTACTTTCACCTCCATACGTCTTTGTGCCACTAGCTCTGCTATCCAAATCCTTGTCCTCAGTGCCAGAAGAGTTCAATGTCTCAAGATTTTCCAAATTCATGTACGCATTGAACAATTCATCTGCAATATCCCCCTCAGATTTTCTCTTACCCATCACTTCTACATTACTAACCCCATCCTTGCTCCATTCTGATTCTCGTTTCACCAACTGAATTGGTTTCTCTAAACCAGAACTCTCCCTACCTGAAACTGACCTATCCAACATGCCACGACTCCCTATTGGAATCAATTGAGGCGAAGACTGAATCATAGCAGAAAAACCTAGTAGAACATCACTGCTAGACCGCCTATGTCCCTTACGTGGAGGTAAACTAGAACTCTCGCCGACACGAAACTCATTACTTCCTCTAGCAACAGGTGAAGGAAGTGAGGACCTAACGTTAGAATTGACAACCCTTTCTTCCATAGAAACATCATTAGAAACAGGATCAGAGAGAGACGAGACAGAAGGCTCGCGATAGGGGGGAGGACTCCATGGAGGCAAGCTATCAAGGGAAAAGAATGTAGGTTGAGATAGAGACCTAGAGTGAGACGATGCCCCTTGTTGAGAATTGGGACGAGAACCAATGATCTGCGAGCAAGGCAATGAAGCAGCAGGGTTTTTGGGGTGTGAAGGAGGTATCCCAGGTCTTTTGTTATTATTGTTCTCAGGATTCAAACGCATAAAAGAAGTAGCCATTGGAGAGGCATTGAAAATGGGTATATCTAAGTTGCTTTGAGGATTAGAGATTGAATTTGAAGGTGGTGACTGAAGCTTTTGCATATTGATTCTACTCTCACCAATACCCTCCATTTTCTTTCATAGTTTTTCAACTGCCACACACACATACAAAAAAAAAAAAAAAATCAAATAAAACAACAAATCCCCATGATCTAAAATGAAAAGAAAAAGGAAAAAACCAAAGTATTTCTATATATATACCTGGACCTAGCTTTGAGCAGTACAATGAATCAAAATAAGAAGACCCAAATATGCAAAGTGAATCAAAATGATAGCCCAATGTTTTAGCCAAGTGTGGCGGTAACTACACTGTCGAAAAAGTCAGAACAAAAGACTTTGAAGAGAAGGGCAATTTCCGGATAGCTGTCTCTCTTACTATAAGACAAGCCAGGATTTGCTTTGTCAGTGAGAAGAAAACAACGCGTGAGGAAAGAGAAGAAATTTAATGTTATCTACGCGTTTTATCAATCTTTCCTCCTTTATCTCCGCCATTTTTTGAGTTAAGTAACAATTATAAAATTACATGTATTTTATTTTATTTTATTTTATTTGTTCTTATCGCTAAGATTTCGTTATCATAAAAAATGATATATATATATATATATATATTTTTGGTAAGTATCATAAAATGGTAATTAAAATTTATAAGGGCTTCCGTTGGCGTTGACCAATCCGTTGGCGCCACGCGTAACTATTGGTTTTTGTTATTTATTTTTCATATTTCAATCATTTTCTTTTAGATAATAATGCAATAAAAAATTATTGGTATCCCTAAAATTATTTTTTAGGAAGAAGATATATATGGTAATTTTAGTGCACCATTAACATGGAATTTTTATTTATTTTGTCCAAAATAGTAAATTGTAAAAAAAAATTATTTATTTAGGTTAATATAAAATAATTTGTATTTCGAATTTGAGATTTAATTTAATTAATATATATAATTATTTTTAAAATATAATATTGAACATATATAAAATTTAATATTTACAATAATTATGATGTCACACATGATTATAGAAAAAAATAAATATCTAGAACTTGAGGGGCATAATATGGAGAGATAGATATTAAATGTTATAGTTTTTTCAATTCATTGAAATGAAAACAAAAATACGATTTAATGAGTAAAAAATTAATATCACTCCTTAAGCTTCAAAAAGTTAATTATTGGGTATTGATACCTATGATTATGGTCCACAATTATTTATAGTTTTTATTTTTCATATAGATTTATATATATTATGAGTTATATTTTATTCTAAATTAAAATTAAATTTATAATAATTATTTAATGATTTTAATAAAAAATAAAAAAATTTATAATTTTTACACTAATATAAGTAAATTTCTCCTCATATTTTATGTATCAAAGAAAACATCTCTTCTTCCAAAAATGAAAAAAATTGAACACTCTAAGCTGCATGATTTTAACAATTCATCTTAAATTGAAAATTAAAAATGCAAAATTATCTTTATTAAACAAAATAGTTAAAAAAAAAAAAGTTAAATCACACTTAATCAGAAAATTTTGGGCCAGTCAAGTTGGGGCCCATTTTGTTAAAACGTCCATATCCTCTGACTATAAAATGAGGTCGGGATTTGGGAGTATAATTCATATTTACCGCGTAGGCCGTCGTCGATCTTCAACATTCTGATTTATCTTTCAGGGTTTCATCATCAATCAGCTTCCCTCATTTTAAGTGTTTTATTTTGTGGGAAAATTACTCATTTGTTTTCAATTCCTTTGGTTCCTATCAATGCATATAGATTGAAATTGGAGGCCAAATGATGAAGATTCTTTTGTTTACTGTTTTTAGCTGCGGATGAAGAGAAATATGAAATATACAGTTATCCCTGGCTGATTTTCTTTTTAAGCGCTGATATTTCTTTGAAATCTGACGCATAGTTTAAATTTTTTATTTATTTTTCGATTTTTGTAATATAATAGACATGAAGCCAATGACGAAACTATGGAGACTTTCCGAAATGCAGTTCTATTGATTCTGCATGATTTGTTGAAACTCATGAACTAGGACGGTCTGAGGCTTTTTATTTTATTTTTTTATCAGCTTATTAACAGCTTTTGAAATTTTTCTTACAGTGCTGTGTATTTTAAGAAAATCTTGAAATCAGTTATCCCTGGCTGATTTGGTTTATCATGACATCTTGTGATCTGACACAGGCTGAACTATGTGGCTGATTTGGTCTTGCATGTCTGGTCTCATTGTTACTATTGTGTTTCGGGAAAAAAAAAAACATGCTTCAATTTCGATAAATCAGAGTTTGAATTTACAGAAGATTTTGAAGAGACCTTGAAATTGAAAGAAAAATTGGAAAACAGAGAAATTTATCGACTTAAGTGAGATGCGAACGAATGCCTTCCTGATTTCAAGAATCCAACAAGACGTTTATTAACTTGTTTTTGTGATTTCAAGAATCCAAGCAAAATTGTCAACTCGTCATATCGTTTATTAGAGAAGGAAATTGGTGGAGTAAGCTAATAAATTGAAATTTCATTAAACTACAACAAGATGTTTGAGGTACAATACTAGTACAATAAAGTAGAGTTACAGGTAACATAGTGGCAAGTTGACAACCCCATCATTTGCCAAGATTGGATGTGGCAAAGAAAATGGATGAGAAGTACCCTTCATCCTCTCTTCATCTACGAGTCTACCTGTCACTCATTGCTCGTACTAAATGCAGACATCAATGGAGGATCGAGTTGGTATCACCCACTTAGTAATCCTCCCTATGGTTATTTCCAGATCATTTTATTTTCCTACACTAGGGTCGCAAACATGGGCGTCAAATGACTCATCTCTAGTTCTCCGTTACATCCCATTTGCACTTTGTATCTTGAACAACCTACTTGATCGTAATGTAGCGGTTTGTCCCATGCTTGGCCCAATGGTCCTTAAGATCAACAGGATTGGACAAATCGTGACCTTCAGCTGCAAGCCGACTAAGCAGCTTGTTGAAAGCACTTCCACTCATCTTTCTGCCACCAATTCGGGCATGTCTTTTGTTGGGAACTGCTGGCAAAGGATACACTGACAAGGTGGTTGTGCAACATGAAGATTGCCATCCCCCGTTCCCCCATTTGTAGCACTGCCTTGGGACTCCAGTGCAGGAACAAACAGGTGGCGGCATGGTTGAGTCATCAAATACAACTTGATTCAACCCCAGATCTTGACCTTTCCAATCGGACTTTGTTGTCGCTAGCTGTTTGTTGAGATCATCACCCCCCGCACCCACATCTTGTCCACCCTTCCACTCATGTGACTTGCCGAACATAATCTTATTCAAGTCCTCATTCTCTTGTTTCACCTTTTTTGGAGGCTTTGAAGCCTTCTTGTTAGGTGCAATTACCTTGGCTTCTTTTGCTCGTTTACCCTGTCTTGACTTTACTGCTTCAGAGGTACCTGGTGTAACTGGTAGGGCGTCACTCGAATGCATTTCCCTTGAGTTGTAAGGAACTTCGCTGATGTGGTGCAGATGGTGAACATTTTGCTGTGGATGTTGCATGTGCTTCACCCCACGTGAGATTTGGCACCCAGGTGGACAAGAGGACATATTACCAGATGCCAAGGAGTTCTCTCGATACTGAAGATTTGCTATGGCATTATCACGTTCTGCAATAGCATTATTTCGCTCAGCAATTGCTGCATCTCGCTGCAAGAATGCCATATCTCTCTCGGCAATAGCTGCCTTCTTCTCAGAAAGTGCTAAATTCCTTTCATGAATAGCTGCATCTCTCTCGGCCATAATGGCCATTATCTGCTTCATTGATGGCTGATGCATCAGCCACTGCAACAATAGTGCTCATAAAAATTAGCATCATGGACAGAAGTTTTCAGAAAATGCTGAAACTGAACACATTAAAATCCCAGAGGGGAGTTCATTCATTTATGCCATTCTAAATCACTCCAAGTATCTATAATCTGCAAAAAAACACCATACGATACCTGACCCTGAGCTGTTCTATACTGATCTGTTTTGAGTCTTCCATTTTCACGATGCCCACCATCATCCATCGGACAACCCAATAAATTGTTGAGGTTGACAAAAAAGAGTTTCAAAACTCCACTGTGAGGGTGGTATTCAGTCAATTAAGCATCACTTCACTTTGGAGGTGGAAAATCCTGTATATCAGAAAAAGGTGGATGGGCGAACTATAAACATATGTTATTAATAGCAAAGGATTGCTCCATCACTATTAGAAAATAGCTGATATCATCCCACAAAAAATAATATCATCTTACCATGGAGAGGTGTATGAGGAACAGAAACCCATCCTCTTGTGGTGATATTCCCTGAATATGAACTGATGCTTAAATACATCATCAAGAACAAGGAAACAAAACTTAAATACCAATTTCTTCAATTATTAGCAACAATTCTATCAGTTCCATGAGATTCATTTCCTAGTTTAGTCAACAAGTTTATCACCCTAAATAGCCTTCTACAAATCAGCCTTACATGCTACAGCTCTATCCATCCTATCAAACATACTGATCAATCAGAAGGATTCCCAAAGTAGAATCTTTAGAGGCAAACACATTCCCCTCCTATAACTAGAGCCCAATTTTCTATAATATCAATCCAAACAAAGAACTCCAGCCTTAATAATTGATGATTAGAGTTGGATTTCAATTTTAAATTCAATGCCATTAAGCTCACCACCTTCCATTTTTCTCCCTTAATAGCCCTTTTAGAATCAGAATATAGATTCTGTAGATAAAAATATATTAGGAACAAATATTTGACAGTTCAAACATCAATGTTAATACTTAGAATTTTCTCAAAATATTTAAAGTCTACTACTTTACTATCTTAAATTTGCAAATCCAGTGAGAAAATGAGAACTAAAATTTTCGGGCAAGACTTGAATAAATGTACAAAATACTAAAGGCCTAATCCTTCCACCAGTCAAAACAGTGAAAAAAAAGTATTTCCAATCGTAAGCTAACACCAAAAACCTTAGAACCATCCAATTCTTAGTTGAAAGCTAGAAAATCAAAACTCTTAAGTTCACTTCCACAGCTGTTTTAAAGAACCCAATTCATTAAACAAGCTTAAAACCCTAGAAATAAAAGATATGAAGCCCGTGAAAGCAAGCTTCCCTTGCTCCAACAAAGCACCAACCACAAAAATTAACCAAAACCAGCAAAGGAAAAAGCAGAACATACTAAAAGTAAGCATAATTAAAATGGGTTTAAAGCCAAAAGATGGTCAAACAAAAAAAAAAAAAGAGTGGGTAGAGAAGAGAAGAAGCAGAAGAAGAAGTAGAAGCTCACCAGTGGAAGAATTTCAAAGGGAAGAGATGGTGAATCAAAACATGAACTTAGGGAAGATGGAAAATCAGTGGAAAGGACGAGTTGAAGAAGGACAGACAAAGGAATTTTTCTTTACCTTTTGTGTGCTAAGGGGTTTTTTTTCCACAACTGTTTTTCTTCTCTATTGATGACTAGAGCATGTTATTTATAATTATTATAGTAAAATTAATAAATAATAATTTTTTATTATGTCAAATTTATCAAAAATTACGTTAAATTTATTTTTTTTATAATTAATTAATTATAATATTGTAATATGTAAAATTGTAGAAGAAATGCTCTGATTGTTTGCGCTCTTAATTTTTCAGTGTTGTCACTTTTAGCGAACGGGCAAAAAAGTCGACTTAAAAGTAACTAAAGTCGCTATGCTATGAACTCTCGCCAGCTCCTAGCCGTTTGATGATAATTGGAAGGTAAAGAGACGTTGTCGTCCAGAGTTATAGGGTGATAATGGTTCTTATGAGATTTAGTTCGATTTTTTTTTAATCGTATAATATTATAAATTTTTAAAATATAATTTAAATTTAAATTGATTGTTTTTCGTTATTTGAATTTAATTTTATTAGTTTGATTTAAATAATAATTTTTAATTTAATTTTTTAATTTTTTATTTAATCCAAATCAAATAAAAAATTTAATATTTAAATTTAATCTCAACCAAATAAAAAAAATAAATTAAATCTAAAACTATTATTTGTAATCTATATTTTATTTTTTCAATTTTTTTCACCCGTACAAAGTCTGTATGTAAACCTTCAACGATGTTGGCTACCTCGAGGGAAAACCGGTGTCGAATCGGCAATGGCCGTTGGCTTTGGTTTCAACATTGACAATTTTGGTTAACCCCCCCCCCCCCCATTCTAAAAAGTCATTTTTTAAAGCTTTTGTGTAGTACTACAATATTGAAGGCTGTGAAATTGATTTATCATTTTATTAACGTGTTACTTGTTGAACTGTTCCCATGGGTTATTAATGTGAAACACAGTAACACAGTTTCAGGCTCTCAACTACATTTAAATACCCACAGCTTGCATTAAAATATAGTATTTAAGAAAATCAACAAAGCAGATTTTGTTATGAAAATGAACGGTATTCTGCTGACTCAGATCAGAGACTCTCTCTGCTCAAAGTATAACTACCAGTATTGAAGAGAAAGATAACAGAGCATTGCTTTACAATGATTTGTCAACAATGCATCGTACATAGCTTGTAAAATTCCCTGTTCTCAACTTTCCTTTTTGTCTATAATCATGACAATCAAACGACAAGGCAAATTATAAATAGTTATAAGCATGAGCTGTATCAATTAATTCAACTTGAATTCAGCAGAAGCAAATGCATAAGAACTACACAGGAACTTGCGTTGTAAAAGAGTTGGAAGAAAACTGTATAACCTCTCAAACCCTTTGATCTCCTCATTGTGGAATGGAGACCAATGCAAAGTCCCACAATCAATGAACTTCACTGCTATTCCTTGGATTCATGTTTGCTGCAATTGTATCGTAATTCATCAAGGAACATAGACTCAAGGATCCAATATTAAGATCTTGATGGAAACAAATACAACCAAATCTGTGATTATCACAAATCTCCAGCTTAGTTCGATAGTCCATAACTGACTTAATAGGTCATATATCCAGATAAATACAAAAGAACAGGATGAAAATCACAAATCCAATTGATTATGATTAGTGCTAAAACTGCAAGCATCTCTTTGGTTGTTTTAAAAACACATAGCGAGGACGGGAAACACCTAGCACCGACAATTTGGTAGTTGATGACTGAAAAAGATTGTCTAAAACAAATTTTCAAATACTTTTCCATCCAAAAGAACCTAAAAGCTATAACTACGCCTGAGATTAGATACCATCAAAAGTATGAAAGCAGTGTAAACGTAGCACCACTAACGGAAGCTCTAATCAATGTTTGCTTTCGTCTCTACACTTGACTTGCCGAGGATAAGTACACCAAGTACAATGAACAGGGCACCTGCAAACCACTGAAAAAGCTCTCGTAATCAGCATATACATTTTACTGAGTTAATAGCTTAAACTAATGAGTACTAGCTTGCTTTCCACGCATTTTTAAGCAAAAATATATCACCATTTTGTTTCCATATCAAGGAAAAAAAAAAAACTCGTCACCAAAGCAAAACTCCATAAAATATTTATCCAACAACTTGAATCCAACTTCCTCCTCTTAATTGCCTTCTTAAGCACCATAAAAAAAAAACACAGATAATAACCTAACAGATGAATCGTTCCTTCGACAAAGATTAGGGATAACAGACTAACTAAAAAAGTTCGGATGTTAGAAACAATGTACTCCAAAGGTCTCCTATTCTAATAGAATGATTTGTATCATCCATTAGGAACTCCATGCCACCAAAAATAGCAAACATGCAAAAATCTGAGAGAAAATTTCCCCATTGCCGTGCTTCCGTTTGCAAAGTAAATCCAATTATACACATATGCTGATAAGTTTATGTTGCAAACTAATCAATCCCCCCTACAGTTAAACGACATAAACATTTTACTAACCCTTCAGTCTATAACAACTACCATTATGATGCTGACCAATTAATTAATCCTGCCAAAGTCTTCATCGTGTTCTTTTTTTGGCTTACCTTAAACGACAACAGTTCGTCGAACAAGAAGAAGCCAGCAATACCAGAAGTGAGGAAATTAGTAGCAAAATTCGTAACTGTAGCTTGAAGAGATGAAAGAGCTTTCAAGCTGTTGACGTAACATCCCCACATTATGACGTTGAAAATTAAGATCAGACCGTACCTAAGCAACTGTAAAATTTAAGAAACATTCACTTGCAATCAGTTATCTTTTCAAACATTACCATTAAAACATGGGATCGGTTGAAAATCTATAAAATCGATGAAAAATCCATGGGTGATTTACATCAATGTAGGATTTACTCTATGAAATCGAGTAGCAAGCGAAATTTAATCTGTAATAGGACTTTGGGGTATAAGAAAATTAGGGAATGAGAAACTTACCGGAGGTAAAAAGAGCTTAGCTGAAACGGCAGCGAACGCAGCGTTGAAACCGGCTGAGATTGCCCAGGCGTAGCCTTTCCTCCTGCTACCATCCATCTCCGTCCTCTCGCCGCAATGCTGCGTCGTTTGAGCGAACAAATACTTCGGCCCAAAATTTAGCTGTCCATTGGGCCAAAGTTAAACATTAAATTTTGAGCTAATTCCCAAAAAAGTCGGCCATATTTTATTACCTTACTACTTACTACTATGATAAATAATTAATTTATGTTGCTTTAGACAACATGAAAATTGCCATATAAACTTACCTCAAATTTTAGTCAATTTTAGTAACATCGATATAATTTAATAACTTTTTATATAATCTTTGTAACTTTTCATGTAACTTTGATAATTTTTAATATAATTCGATAAATTTTTTATATAAGTTTGATGATTCTTTTATATAACTTTATTAACATTTGATACAATTATAATATTTTTTTATATAATTTTGATAATTTTTCATATAATTTTAGTAAAATGTGATATAATCTTATACATTTTTTATACAATTTTGGTAATATATAATACAATTTTAATAACATTTAATATAATTTTGATAATTTTTTGTGTAATTTTTTGGGATAATAATTTGATTTTTTTATATAATTTTGATATATAATATTAGTAAATTTTGATTTTTTTTGCAATTATTTATATAATTTTAATAATATTTTATTAATATTGATAATTTTTATATAATTTTAATGTAATATCAGCAATATTTCATATAATTTTGATTTTTTTCGTACAATAAATATATTTATTATTTAGTTTAATTGTTAAATATATTTAAAGCATTAACATAATACTAATATTTTATTATTTTAAATAAATTTAAAGCTTTTGGGGCCCAACAAATCAAGCCAGGCCATGGGGAAAAAACTGATCTCAACTTCATTGCTTTGAATACTGTTATGCATTTGATTTGATAAGCCAATAAAGGAATAATAGTTGTATTTTTTTCCGCACAAAAGAAACACAATTTGTCCACGCTGGCAATCCTCGTTTCTTAGAACCCCAATCAGATTCAATCACACGGATCGAGGCCTTTTAAAAAATTTCTCTCTGTGTACAATGCCGTTGAAAAAACTTTCAATTATTTCCATGTTTGTCCCTCGACCTTATATATAAGCTCCGTACCTTAACACCTAAAGTCATTGCATACCAATTATCAAATTATCTTCCCAAATCTCTCTCCACAAAATCAAAACCCTAATCTCCCAAATTTCCCTGATTGAGGAAAAAAGATGGCTCGTACGAAGCAAACCGCTCGCAAATCAACAGGAGGAAAGGCTCCCAGGAAGCAGCTGGCCACCAAGGTATGATTTTGTTAGGGTTCCAGTTTCCTGATTTTATTAGTGTTATTTTTAATCGTTTTCTTGAATACGCTTCCGATTCTCTGTTTCAATGGCAATCGATCAATTACAGGCTGCAAGGAAATCTGCGCCTACCACCGGTGGAGTCAAGAAGCCTCATCGCTACCGTCCTGGAACCGTTGCTCTTCGTGAAATCCGTAAATACCAGAAAAGCACAGAGCTTTTGATCCGCAAATTGCCCTTCCAGCGCCTTGTTCGTGAAATTGCCCAAGACTTCAAGGTATTCCTATATATATAATTACAAGAAAGCAAAATCCCAATTCCAAATTCGTTTGGTTGATGTTTATGGTAACTCTGTCTTTTTGTGCTTATTTTCTGGCAGACGGATTTGAGATTCCAAAGCCATGCGGTTCTGGCATTGCAGGAGGCTGCGGAGGCATATCTAGTTGGTTTGTTCGAGGATACCAATTTGTGTGCTATCCATGCTAAGAGGGTCACGATTATGCCCAAGGATATTCAATTAGCCAGGCGAATTCGTGGGGAGCGTGCTTAACTTTGCTTTATTTATTTATTTTCTTCTATTCAGTAGGTACATTATGTTTTGTTTCTTTTTGTGGGTCGATTGGATTATTTGTAAACTAACTGTGTTGCAAAGGTTTAAAAGATTATCGTTATTAATTAGATTATATTGGGATACTGGTAATTATACCTTTTTCTTTTCAAGAATCTGAGTTTTGATCCTTGTGGGTAATTCTCGAATTGTTTGGCTTTATTATCTTGATTTTGATGGTATTTTTTGTTGCTTATTGATGTTTTCTGAATGGCTGGAACACCAATATATTGATCATTATGAAACACCCATAGCTTGGTGAGATTTGTTATTGTGTTCTTAGCTGGTTTGGCTGATGATTGTTATTTTGATTCTATTTATGAATAGAACATGTAGAGCGATGATGGTCGATGGTACTAACAAGAATCAGGAAGATTTGGCATGAATGGTAAACCTAATTTACTGTCAAAAGGGCATAACCGTTTTTGATATTGGTACTGTTTTTAGGAAAAATCTATGTCTGGAAAAGCATACTAGAATTTTGATCGAGTACAGGACTAAACATAGTTTGGTAATTGGGCTTGGTGTTTGTAGCCCATTTATAGCTATTTTGGGACACTTGCCTAATGGATTTGACCAATTGAAGCCCAACAAGTTGGGCTAAGTATCTCTGAACCTAGATTTTGCAGATACAACATCGGCTGCTTCAGTTTGTCATCCAATTTTGTGTCTACCATCAAATTCAGGGCTGTAAACATAATGGCCTGTGCTCATAGCTCTGTCATTTCGGTCGTCCTCTTTTCCATTTCATGCTTCTGCTTGAGGTGGTTCCTATGTCTTTTATTATTAAGGCCCCGTTTGGATTTAACTTTCCCTCTGGTGCTGTGAGTCCCTGCAGCGAAGCAATCATTTAAGACTGGAGCAAAAAAAATCCAGTTGTTCATAGGACTGGATTTTTTGCCCGTAATACCTCTTTTTTATTTTTTATATTTCATATGTTTAATATTATTTTGTTAAATAATATTTATCATTTTATAAGTATTGTCTTTATTTTGTATTTATATTTAAATAATTTTAATATATTTTAATTTTTTATTAATTTCATAAATGATAATTTAAAATTTTCAATATATATAGTTTAATGTAATGTTTTTAATTATCATTTTTTCCTTCATTACAATTTATTTCACTGTCATTATTGTTTTTACATTTAAAGATATATTTCATCATTAATTTTAATTGTATTTTTGCAGTAATTAATTTTACTTTTATCATTATTTTTAATCTTATCAAATTAATTTCACGTCTATCTAAATTAATCTTAAGTATATGTAGGATTAGAGCGGCCAATGTAGCCCATTGTATAAAATGCGGACGCAACGATGGCATTATCATGTGCCTCCTCCAACTTGTGTATTCTCATGTCTACTTTTTCAGTATCCTTCTGCTTTAATTTTAACTCCACAACGTTTTGCAGTTCTCAACTATTTGCAAAGCCCCAGCACCCCTTCCTCCCACTCTTACTGTCCTCTACTTAAATTCAAGAAATTATCTTCAACTTCACATGTTTCTATAATTGGTTAATGTTATGAATACTCTCTAAATTATAATAAAATATTTAATATGATATTAAATTTTAAAAATTTTTAATATAATATTTAAATTATGAATTTATTAACAAATATAATATTAAAAAGATTATTTATCTTTCATGAATTATTATGATTTGAAGTTAATTACATTAAAAATGAGTATCATATTAATTAATTAATTAATTTTATAATTCATATATTATATTAAAAAAATTTTAATTTTAAATATTATATTAAATATTTTATTATAATTTAAAAATAATTATTGATATGAACATTTTATTATTTTTTTGAACTCTGCATTCATATATATATATATATATATATATATATATCCATTGCTTTGTGGACAACAAAAGCCCATTATTCTGTTTGTGGTGGCGGGCAACCACTAAACTTGATCAAGTATTCGACTTTTTGGTAGCTGGATGAATAATAATAACAACGACTTGCCCGTTAACTTTTGAATCTCAAAAGTTCCCAACGTGACACTTCTAGTAAAACCACGACCTCGCACACAACTTCTAGTAAAACCATCTATAAACTTTTCTCTCCAACATCCACTCATGATCAATGGCATATACAAAAAGAAATTGACCAATATGCAATAGGTCAATATACATTGTACACTGCATAAGGTTATTGGGAAATCACTTACATGCAAATATATTTCAAATGATCTGTTTGTACTTTGGAGCATGCACATGTTGCATATGCTTCGCTATAGTTAAAGGCATCCTTTGAATTGTTTATCTAGATTACTAAACAAAATGAAATAAAATAATTAAAAGGAAAAAGAGATCGATGTCGGCTTGGTTTGTACCAGGCGTTTTGCTAATGCCAACTGGAAAACCGACTGGTCTTTGCATTAAACCATCTTGACATGGAATTATGATAAATGATTTGACCCGTTATTGCATTTATTTGTCCAACTTCTCCACAATAAGTTAGTGCAACGACCGGATAATAAGAGCTAAACAACCAACCCCCCATTTTTGGTTGATCTTGGAGCTGCGAGTACTTCGAAAAGCAATTGCTATTTGTCTAAAGGCCTACATTGTACGGAATATCCTAAAGCCACAATCAATGCTATAGTAAGTAAAAGGTATAAAGGAAATAAAGAATGGAAAACATGTTTTGTAACGGTAATTTTACTTACAAATACTGTTAGTTTCTGTATTTTTATAAAATTTAATGTATTTTTTATTAAAACATCACTAAATATTCAAATAACAGCGTTTATACTTATAAATACTACTCAAGACAAAAATTAATGGCGTTTATCAACTAAGATGCCTTGAATAATTCTTTCTAAAAAATTAAAATGATTATTAAAGGCGTTTTTTGTATATTACGCCTTTAATAATCCCCTAAAAAAATAGAGGTGCTTATTGAAGGCGTTTTCTACCAAAAACGTCTTCAATAAATCTATTCGTCAATGCATATGCCAAAATTAAAGTAACGCTATCGATTAAAGCATACAGTTATTAATCATAAGGTCATAGGTTTAATCTTTTCTTTTAGCGAATTTATATTGTTTTTTCGAGGGATTATTTCTAAGGGAGTATGCCTTTAATACTCCATAAAAAAAATTTGAGGGGGATTATTGAAGGTGTTTTTGCTCAATAACACCTTTAATAATCCCCTCAACAAAATTTGGATGAGATTATTGAAGACATTTTTTGTCATAAACACTTTCATTATTCCTTTCCAAATTTTCAAAGCATTATTGAAGGCGTTTATGACCAAAATCACCTTCAATATTTCGTTCCAAAATTATTGAAGGCGTTTTTCGTCAAAAACACCTTCAATAAATTTAGAAATATTGTATGTGTTTTTACCTACAAACGCCTTTAATAACCCCATTCATCATCTTGTGAAGGATTATTAAAGGCATTTTCTAGCTAAAAACACCTTCAGTAATCTCATAAAAAAATATTTGGTTTAATTATACATGAAGTCATAGTTTTATACCCAAAAAATATTTGAAGTCAGTTGTAGGTTTATACATGTGATACTACAAATTACTTTTTGAAATTTACATTACGAACATTGTAGTATTTAAATAAATTGACCAGACATTCGAATTTAAAACTTGTAACATTGCCAATCTACAAACTTAAATTATCCATTCAACATGGTATTTTAAAAACATTATAAACAAATGATCCTCATATATTTACACTCAACCAATAATGTCCAACCTCAAAGTTTAGCAATAAATGATAATACATACTCACACCACTCTTTACGAACTTCATCAAGTTCGTCTACCGTGAAACTTTCTTTACTCTTCAACTAAAAAAAAAATCAGAAGTAAATGTTAATAAACGAGAACATAATTTAGTTTTTTTTTTTTAAGATATAACAACTTTATGAAATTTATACTAACTTTGAATGGTGTGGTCATAAAATTATATAAAACTATCACCCTCATAAAACAAAAGATATAATATCCATATTCAATATATCTGGGTTGACGAGATACCTGAAAAATAAATTTAGTAGGTTTAAAAAATATTTATTTACACAAACTCAGCATAAAAGAATAAATTTCATATTTACTAGTAATGACACCCACTTTATCTTTGCATTCTTATTAAATGCAAATATTACCCTAAATTGAAAAGAAAAAAATTACTTAATACATAAATAAAATTACTTACAAAGAAACAAAAGATATATAATATAATAATATGTAATACCTCTTTATAAAATTTTTAATATCGGGGTAAGGCATTATCGTTGGTTGAGCGAAATTAAGTAAGTACGACGTTAAGGTTATAGTATAAATCACAATAAGCTGTTAATAATAATTGTAAAATAATAAGAATGATATACTCATATTAGGCACATCTCAGATTTGGGTAAGGTTGAAATAATTATTTGTATGAATATAACTTACGCAACATTATACTGGAGCAAATAATAATCAGTACATTTTTCATGCATTTAATCACATGAGTAGCACGAAAAACAACTATGCCACTTTGCTCACTAATGAATTTGGGGTCAACGAATCTAAATCTATAAGTCGTTTGTCTCGCCTTGACCTTTCTATATAGGAAGTTATAGGATAACAATCAATAATACTAGTTAGTAATACACTATAATATAGATTAATACATATTGAGTTTATGTATTTGTATTTATAAGCTAACTTCATATAAGCAACAATATCAGCGGCTGATATTTCATCCAAGTTACAAAATTCGTTAACCTCATCCACACCAATATAAGAAAATGATGGTTGATCAAATAACCTATCATCGAACTTAACGGTTATGTAATTTCCTTCAGATAAATGATTAAGTGAATAATTAGATAACTCGTTCATAGCAACCTGAGCATGGGTCATACTCTGAGTACTAATATCCTGCTACAATATATAATGAAATATAAATATTAAAACTAAATCAATAATATAATAAACAAATAAATATTAAACTTATAAATAAAATCATACTTTATGGTTGGTAGCGGAGGTTAGGTTCCCTGCTTGACTTGTAATGAAAGCTTGTCTTAGGTGAATGATGCTATCCAA